TACTAATACCACTCTATAAAGCCCTAGTAAGACCACACCTAGAGTCCTGCATCCAGTTTTGGTCACCACACTATAAAAAAGATGTTGAGACTCTAGAAAAAGTGCAGAGAAGAGCAACCAAGAGGATTAGGGGACTGGAGGATAAAACATACGATGCAGGAACTGGGCATGGCTAGTCTAGTGAAGAAAAGGACCAGGGGAGACATGATAACCCTCTTCCAATACTTGAGGGGCTGCCACGGAGAGGAGGAAGGGGGTCAAGCTGTTTTCCAAAGCACCCGAAGGCCGGACAAGGAACAATGGATGGAAACTGACCAAGGAGAGATTCAACCTAGAAATGAGGAGGAACTTTCTGACAGGGAGAACAATCAACCCGTGGAACAGAAGTTGCCTTCGGAGGTTGTGGGAGCTTCATCACTTGAGACTTTCAAGAAAAGATTGGACTGCCATTTGTCAGAAATGGTGTAGGGTCTCCTGCTTGAGCGGGGGGTTGGACTAGATGACCTGTAAGGTCCCTTCCGACTCTGTTAATCTGTTATAATCTGTTAAGATTCTTCCTCCAACCATGATAAAGTCCTTCCTGCTTCAAGAAATACTTTACAGAATCAAAATTTCACTTCTCTTCTCTCTTTTCAGTTACAGATTGGTTTCTTAGGCAATGTTGATTTAAATATTTTATGTGTTCAACCATTTGGGCGAATGCCAGGTTTAAATTGTGTCTGGAAGCGGCTCTGGGGCCTTTTAGCTGTCATAAAGTTGAGTTGAATTGAGCGGGCTTCCTCCTCCGGAGAAAGTTCAAGGAAGTCAGAATTAAGAAGGCCAGAGAAGAAGCCTAGAAAGGAAAACATCCTTCTGGCTGACGCAAGGGGCTGCTCATCGATCAGAAAGCATGACTCAACGCATGATCTCATCATGGGACCAGGCTAGCATCATGTGAACACAGGTGTAGCCCAGAAATGGAGACGCTGGCAGAATAACCCAATAACGGAGTTGGAAGGGACCTTGGAGATCATCTAGTCCAACTCTCTGCTCAAGGCAAGAGATCTTTTAGCATTAGTTGGGACAACCAATTGTCTGAAATGGCCTGGAGTCTCCTGCTCGAGCAGGGGGCTGGACTCGAGACCCCCCAAGGTCCTTTCCGATTCTGCTATTCTGTTATTTCCCCAGGATGGGGAATGGATAAAATCCACTTTCTTCAGAAAGCAAAAGCTAGAAAAGCAGCAGTGCCAAACGAAAGAAACTAGGAGGGATGTGGAAAACCAAAAATTTAAACGCCACCCAAGCCTGCAGCTAATTCCAACTCTTTCTTTGCAATGTTGCAAAAAGTCCATTGCATGTTTGCAGCTCCTAAAATTTCAGATCCTTCGACAGGTGAGGGGCCACTTGCCGATCCCCAGCGCAAAGATGCAGAAAGACCTATTCCTATTCCACAGCAAACACCCCCCTCACATACACAGAGTATTCCAAAAATTGCCCTCTCTTTGAAAGCACCCAGGTCTGGAAAAACCCCAGCCGAGCAGGATAAAACATGTCTGAATCCATCTGCACCGGGATTTTCTGCAGAAAAACCACACCAGCTGCAGGCACCTTACAAGCATCTACCCATGCTTGCAACCCACACCCAAAGTGTTGGAAAATTTGGCAGAGGTGAAAATATTGGACGTGGAAACGGTTGGACTAGAAGACCTCCGAGGTCCCTTCCAACTCTGGTATTCTGCTTCGGTTCTCTAAATGTGCATCAAAGCTGCAACGAATTGTGTATTTGTGTATTGGGGACACTCTGGATTTGTGAGGCACACCCCTTTGCGCTGCACAGAAATTGCCATTCACCGCTAATCGGCTACTTTGCACCCCAGGGGAAAAAAAGGAAATCCAGCATTTGGCTGGGCCAGATCACGGCTTGATTCCAGGATAACAAACCACTATTATATATATATATATATATATATTACAGAAGAATTTTGCAAGTCTGATTGCCCTGTGCGTTTTCCCCCCTCCCCACTTCTTATAATTCAGTGAATGACATCGATAACAGAGCTGAAAGGGATCTCGAAGGTCTTCTAGTCCAACCCCCTATTCAAGCAGGAAACCCTAAACCGTTCTGGATAGGTGATTATCCATTTCTCTTCTTAAAGACCTCCAGTGATGGAGCAGCCACAGCTTCTGGAGGCAACCTGTATTCTGATCTTCTCAGGGATGTTACCTGCTTGTTGTGGATTCCACAGAAGTTTTATTTAATTCTTGCATTATCTCCAACAAGGTCATCCACCTTACTTTATGCTCTCCTAAACTTCTGGCAAAATAGCAACTATGCGGGGACTTTCTCTGTTCCTCACACCCACAATATGTTTCTCGATTCCACATACATCCAGCCTGCTGCAAAACTCTTGTTTTCTCCCTTTGTGCAGGAGGGCCCGTAACGGTGCCTGCCAGCAGCCCTTCCCCCACCGTAGGCAAGGCCGGTCAGCCCCACTCTCTTGGCCACCCTGGACGCTGTCTCCATCTCTGGTTTCCATGCCGACAGACCAGGATCTCCTGGGCTAGCCTTAGCAACCTGACCAAGCCTGGTGCAGCTAAATTTCATTAATCTAATCTAATCTAATAAACTTTAATTAGCCTGGAAGTTTCTCTTCACCTTCCTGTTACAAGCCGAGAGATCTTAGAAGGAGGGAACCCCAGAGGAGCAGTGTTAGAACTGGGTGGGTCCCCTGAGGTCATCCAATCTGCCCCCTGCCCAAATGAAGGCCTGTTGGGAAGGGGAGAAGGAAAGAGATTGACAGAGAGACCTTGGAGGTCTTCTAGTCCTCAAGCAGGAGACTCTATGCCAACCTCAGACAAATGGCGGTCCAGTCTCTTGTTAAAAAACCCCAGTGATGGAGCACCCACAACTTCTAGTGGCAAGCTGTTCCACTGCTTAATCAGGAAATTCCTCCTTATTTTGAGTATGAATCTCAGAATAAAGAATACAGGAAAAGAGTTGGAACGGACCTTGGAGGTCCTCCAGTCCAACCCCTTGCTTATTATCCTGGATAAATGGTTGTCCAGCTCTTCTTAAAGGCCTCCAGTGATGGGGCATCCACAACTTTTTAAACCGTCCCACTGCTTAATTGTTCAATTCCTCCTTAACTCTAGGTTGCTTCTCTCCTTGATTAGTTTCATGGCTTCTTGTCCTGCCTTTAGGGGCTTTGGAGAATATGTGGACCCCCTTCTTCTTTGGGGCAGCCCCTCAAATATTGGAAGACTGCTGTCATGTCACCCCCTAGTCCCATGATGGCGAACCTATGGGACGCATGCCACAGGTGGCGCACGTACCCATATCAGTGGGCATGCGAGCTCAGCTCCGGGCCCACCAGAAGTTGGGAAACAGGCTGTTTCCTGCCTCCAGAGGACTTCGGGAGGTAGTGGAGAAGGTCTGTTTTTCTCTCTCCCCAGGCTCCAGAGCCTTTCTAGGAGTCTGGGGAGGGCAAAAACCGCCTTCCCCACCCACCGGAGGCCCTCTGGAGGCCGGAAACAGCCCGTTTGCCAACTTCCGGTGAGACCGGAAGGCTCTTTTTTTTGCTCTCCCCAGGCTCCAGAGCCTTTCTAGGAGGGTTAGGGTTAGGCAAACGGACTGTTTTCAGACTCCAGAGGGCATGGGGAGAGAGAAAAACGGGCCCATCACCCGTGACACCTCCCCCCCCGTGCACAAACCCACCTCTCCTGGCACGCAATGGCAAAAAGGTTAGCCATCACTGCCCTTAGAGTCCCTTGGGAGTTGGGCGGCATAGAAATAGGATTAATTAAATTAAATTAAATTAATGAAATTAGTCCTTTGTTTCACTAAACATCTCCAATTCTTGCAAGACGAGTGTAACCAAAACTCTGATGGGCCTGCAAAGCTTCTGCTCCTGAGCCAGGAGACGGGGGGATGGGTCGAGGAGGATGCCTCGATGCCCACTTTGAAAAGAGCCCTGAATGAAATTGCAGTCAAAGGAGAATCCATCAACTAAACCCAACAGAACAAGAGGGATCTGAGAATAGCAACCTTATCTGATAGGGCCCACTTACGGAGCATTGATTGGTCCACTTTCAGTCTGAGTGGATGCAAAAAATAAGCCTTCGGTTATTGGCCAAGGTTGCAAGCAAAGCCCCCGCAGTGGAATTTCACCAGAAGGCCTCCAGACAGGTGCGCCGTTTGTGAACGGTACCAATTCGGCGATTCAGGAAACAGCTATTTAAGGCACGCAGAGGGAATCTGTTGAGAACTGCTCCCTGCCCCTAGGCAGTCCTCGACTTACAACCATTCATTTAGGGACGGAGTTCGGAGTTACAACGGCACCGAAAAACAGACACACAGGAATGTTTTCCACACTGACGACCATTGCAGCATCAGAGGTTCATGTCATCCAAATTCAGACATTTGGCAAACTGGCGTGTACTTATGACGGCTGCATCAGAGTGGCCCACTCTGCCTGCCTCCTGAGGGGGACGCAGTGGAGGATGGGTTTTGCAGACCCTCCCCATAATTGCAGTGATTAGCATACAAATACAAGTGAGATCTCTATCCCACAATTGCAGCCTGCGTCGATCCTGGATTCTGCGTTTTGTGATCACATTTTCGGCTCCATTTCCAAGCTGCAGCTATGTGGTTATAGCCTCTGAATTGTCTGTCTGTCTGTCTGTCTGTCTGTCTGTCTGTCTGTCTGTCTGTCTGTCTGTCTGTCTGTCTATCTATCTATCTATCTATCTATCTATCTATCTATCTATCTATCTATCCATCCATCCATCCATCCTCATCATGATCCTCTAATTTATTTAATTTATATGCCTCCCATTTTGTCCAGAGGTAACTCTGGGAGGCTCACAAACATTAAAACCACCACGCATTAAAATAATAAAGCAAAATCTTATGTCCCTTCGGTGCCCACCCCCCTCCGCAAAAAAACCCCATCCACAATTTAGGAACCACCAAAGATCCCGGGTCCCAGCCCCTTGGTATCTATGCTCCCCACCCCACTTACCTCTCCTTCCGTCCCGAGAGCCTCAAATCCTGTCCAGAAGTTTAACCTCCTTTTCCATCCGTCTGTGTTGCAGAAAGCGACAAGAGATGCCACGGAGGATCACAGGTGGGAACTGATACCTGCCGGCCTGAGTGTCAGTTTTTTTTTTCTTTTTGCTTTGCAAAAACCGCCAGCCCTACCTGGAGGAGGAATGTCTCAGGTTTAAATCATGGGCCTTAAGTTATGAAGGTCCCTGTCAGGCTTGCTACACGGGAGGAGGAGGGGGGGGGGAGAGGCTGGAATGAAGCCCAGGTGGTGCGTCCACCTTCTTTGTTAATTTCTTCAGTCCCGGTCTTTGGCCAAGCAAATCACAGCCTACACAAGACGCCTCTGCAGAGGGGAAAGAGACCAGTGAATTCAGGGGCTAAAATTCATTTCCCGCTCAACCGGTTCCCGGCATGAGTGGCAGCCCGGCCTGTCCCTTCCTCTTCTTGCATCAGAGATCAGCAAAGTCTAGATTTTTCCCCCATTAGCTGGCCTGGCACCTGACTCAGAAACAGGGCAAAGGAGCTCCTAACGGATTCCAGGAAGCTCCCTCCTCTTTGCCATCCACTCCTCTTAATGGATGCTGTTGGGGAAGTGAATTTACTCCAGATTAAGGACGTTGCTCAGTGGTGTCAGGAGCCGGCATGGGACGCTTGCCCCGTGCTGGCTAATTTTAGCACAGCCTCCTCGGTCCCCTTGGCATGGAGCTCCCACGCTGGCACGGTGGGCATCTCTCCATGATAGAAATATCTTTGATATTTCAAAAAGTCCCTCCTGTCCGGGTTGCTGCATTGAGTCATGCCAGATTCTTAAGAACCTGCAAAGCAAGAAACGGCTTTCTGTTTTAAATTTAAAGCACCAATAAGTGCAAAACAGGCATCCTCTTCTTACAACTGCTTGTTTAGTGACTGAAGTTGCAACAGTCCTGGGGGAAAAAATAACCTCATGACGTGTCCTCCCACTTGTGACTGTCACAGCCTCGCCAGGGTCATCCGATCAGAATTCAGGCGCTTGGCAACAAGCAATGCATGTGTGACGGTTGCAGGACTCTGGGCTCAAGTCATCCTCATTTGCGACCTTCCTGGCCAACTTCCCACAAACAAAGTCAACGGAGGGAAAGAGGATTCTCCTTTAACGGCTGCATGAACCACTTAACAACCATGGGAAAAAAAAAAAGGCTGGGGAATTCTGGGAGTTGAAGCCCCCTCAAGTGAACAAGGTTGAGAAACTCTGAATTAGACAGCATGGGGTCTCATGGGGACAAGTCGAACCCAGCGAGAGATTTCTGCTTCGCTCATGATAGACGTTGGAGAAACCTTCCGAAGATGTAGAACCTCAGAATCCTAGGGTTGTAGGGACCTTGGAGGTCTTCTAGTCCAACCCCTGCTCAGACACTCTAGCTATCCAACTACCATCTCTACTGCTCTTGAAGAACTCAGTGGCTGCATTAATCTAGGAGAATAAGAGAACAACAGAGCTGGAAGGTACTTTGGAGGTCTTCTAGTCCGTGCTCAGGCAGGAAACCCTCTACCATTGTAGGCAAATGGCCGTCCAATCTCTTCTTGAAGACCTCCAATGATGGAGCACCCACAACTTCTGGAGGGAAGCCATTGATTAATTGATCTGGGATTATAAAATCACAGAATAAGAGAGTTGGAAGGGACCTCGGAGGTCTAGTCCAACCCCCTGCTCAAGCAGGAAACCTCATCCCATTTCAGAGAAATGGCTGTCCAATCTCTTCTTGAAGACCTCCAGTAATGGAGAACCCACAACTTCTGGTGGCAAGCAGTTCCACTGGTTAATTGTCCTCCCTGTCAGGACGTTTCTCCTTAATTCCAGGTTGCTTCTCTCCTTGAATAGTTTCCGTCCGTTGCTTCTTGTCCTGCCCTCAGGTGCTTTGGAGAATAGGTGGACCCACCCCCCTCTTCTCTGTGACCCCCAACCTCTCTCGGCAAAATGCCCCACCAGAAGCCAAAGGCTTGGCTTTATTTGCCACACTTCTTTATTTATTTAGGGTGGGACATCCGCAGAGGCCACGCAATCACCACAATCTGCAGCCACGATTCAAGGTGGACCATGATCAGCCAAAGGGACGGAGCCAGAAGACCAGGAGAATTGTAGGAGTTTCCTGCTAAAAAAAAAAAAAATGGAATCGCAACCTCGGGCAAGGATGGCTTAAACTGCCGCCCCAAAGAAGGGACAAAGAAGGCACCCACAAGGAAAGCAGACGTTTGTAGCCTGGCCGGATTCTCTCCTCCGGCTGCAGCCCTCCCGGTCACTTGAGTCTGCCATCCCGGGAAAGGTCAGCCTTCACGCGCACAAGCCCGCATGACACCCAGGCGGGCAGCCAAGCGGCTTGCAGGGTGGGGAGAAAGGGTTTGTAGCAAGTTCTGGCAGCGGGGGGGGGGGACACCGAGCTCCTTCGCCCCGTTTTAGGAGAACTTCGGTCCAATTTGGGGAAGGGGATCTCCTCGACAAAAGCTCCTTTTATGTACCAAAAGAAAAGCAGGATTTGCCAGGCTCAGGCCTTTTCCCTTGCGCTGGGGCCCAACTTTTCACCATGGGGAGGACCCACAAGGCCAACTGTCCCCCACGGCATGGAATGGCCAGGAAGGAAGGAGAATTGAAAGATGCTGAAATCAGGGAAGGGAAGGGAAGGGAGGGAGGGAAGGAAGGGAGGGAGGGAAGGAAAGAAAGAAAGAAGGGAGGGAGGGATTCTCACCCATCTTTGAGCCACCTGCTCACCCAATTCGTGTGAAAACATCACCCTCCTCTCTGGCCCCCCCTCCCCGAAATTCCTTTTCCCTTTGAAAGAAGCTTCAAAGGAAGATCCGCTTTCATCTTCTCAGTGGAAAGCCGGGAAGAGAAAAGGCAGGGAAAGTTTTCCTAATTTGGGCTTTTCTTCCTTAGACCAGCAAATCCCTTTGGAAGAGCACCCAGAGGGGGGAAGGGGGGGCTTGTGGGTCAGGCCTTCCCTTGGGATGATGCAACAGCCGCAGGTGTGCCCAGGTGTGCCCTGGCAATGCCAGATGTTGCAGCATTCACACACCGGGCACAAACGCCCAGAGCGGAAAGTCACTAAACATGATCAGGGAAGCTTCTCTCTCCCCCTCTCTCTCCCTCTCTCTCTCCCTCTCTCTCTCTCTCTCTCTCTCTCTCCCTCTCTCTCTCTCTCTCTCCCTCTCTCTCCCTCTCTCTCTCCCTCTCTCTCTCTCTCCCTCTCTCTCTCTCAGACCAAGCTTCCCGAAGCAGCTTCCCTTTCTCAAGAACTACCACTCCCAGAGTTCCTTGCAGACAAGAGGGAGGGGCAGCCGGTGGGCGGGTCAAAGGGTCCCCAGCAGGGATGAGTACCAGAGCAGGTCCTATAGGCAGTCCTCGATTTACGACCACAATTGCATCACTAAGCAACGTGGTTGTTAAGAGAGTCATCACATCACCACGTTTGGTTTTAAGACCTTTTCTGCCATGGTCATTAAGTGAATCACCTGGGGATTAGAGAGAGTGGCTTCCAGCCTGGACTTTGTTTTACTTTTTAATGATGGTCCTTCCTTCCCTTCCTTTGTTTCTTTCCCTCTCTTGCTTCCTTCCTTCCTTCCTTCACTCCTTTTTCTTCATTCCTTTGTTCCTTCCTTCCTTTCTTTCAGTTTTTTTCCTTCCCTCTCTTGCTTGCTTCCTTCATTCACTCCTTTTTCTTCCTTCCTTCCTCCCTCCCTCCCTTCCTCCTTGTTTTCCCTCTCCTCTTTCCTTTTCCTCTCTGTGTTTTACTCCACAAAATCAATTCTCAATAAATATGAATGAATGCAAAAGAGAGTCCAGGCTTAGACGGCTGCCGAGTGGTCCTCCCAGGCAGCCTCGAGCCACAGATGTGGAGATGGGACGGGATGTCCAGAAGCGACCACAGCTTCACCCCTGTGGAATGCAGATTAAATCTCCTGCTGGGCTTCATCAGGTGCCTTTCCAACGTGGCTCAGAAGCACCAAAACCGCCAGGAGGATCCTTCTCGGCCGAAAACCTTCAGCCGATGACTTCCCACTCAGCCTGCCTGCATCCCAGAATAGCTGCTGCCGGGGCAGATAAGGGCCCTCCATCTGGCCAATCTCACCTCCGGGCTGTGATGAAGCCTCCTGAGATAAGGTGACCTTCACTTGGCTGTCAACTGCTCTTGCCGGCTGGGCCAAAGTCATTTCCCTCCCTCGGTGGGTGGGTTGTTTGACGCCCCTGCTCTGCTGGTGCTTCAGATCAGCGGCCCTGAACAAAATCAGGAGAGCCTCCCCTCCCCCAAGGGGTCTTCTCCTCCTCTCATGTCTCCAAAGCCAAGAGCTGAAGGTCAGGTAGATCAGGCCACCTGCTGTGGGCATTGGGCCAGACGCTTCAGTTCCCCCCCCCTTTTTTTTTTTATTACTCTTCTGGATGCCTAGCCTGTTTGCTTCAGCTGGATGGGAGCGAAGTTGCTTCCTGACATCCAGGTCTTTCATGGGGTGAAGAGGTGGCCCCGTGTCTCTCTTCCTTGGCTGAAGGAAGCTTCCCTGGACATCTGAATGGTCACTTGTCAAGACCAGGGCTGTGTCCCCACAACACGTGGCATCACGAGCCACCAAAACTCCTCCTCCTCCACCCCCCCTTCTCCTTCTTCCCCCTCCTCTTCTTCTTCTTCTTCTTCTTCTTCTTCTTCTTCTTCTTCTTCTTCTTCCTTCTTTCCCTTCCTTTTCTCCTTCTCTTTCTCCTTCTCCCACCGCTTCCCAGGCCATCCTTATTCCACAGTGGTGGTCTCTCCCCCCCCCTCCGACTCTCTTTCTCCCCCAAAATGGACCCCCGGCCTCCAAGAATAGCTCCCCAGACATTTCCGCTGCCAAGAGGGCACTTCAGAGGCTGCGGGGCCTCTTGAGACGAGCGGCTGAACCAGAGGGAGACTTCAAAGGAAAATGGAGTCTGGCTGCCAAGAGGAAGAAGGACAATGCCCCGAGTGGGGGGGGCAGGAAGCGGGGAGGCTGTAAGTGGGGAAAGGACAGGAGATTCTCAGAAAATGTCACCCTGGCTGTCAGCACTGGGTACCAACGTCTCTACAGGTCTGGTTTAGGGACAGGTCCCTCTGTGATGCTCCTGGTTTGCAGGTGGTCCTTGAGATACGACCACCATCGAGCCCAAAATTTCCACTGTTAAGTGAGAAAGTTGTTCAGTGAGTTTTTCTCTCTTTCTCCTTTCTCCATTCTTCCTTCTTTTTCTCCTTCCTTCCTTCTTCCTCCTCCTTTCTCCTCCTTCTCCATTCTTCCTTCTCCTCCTTTCTCCTTTTTCCTCCTCCATTCTTCCTTCTTTGTCTCCTTTCTCCTCTTCCTCCTCTTTTTCCTCCTTCTCCATTCTTTCTTCTTTCTTCCTCTCCTTTCTTCCTCCTCCTCTTCGACACTCCAGCCCAAAAGCTTCCCCATCATCATGCCCCACGCTGCGCCCCACAAAGAGTCACCCCAGACTCGTCTCCCGACACCCCCTGCCAAGGTTCTCACAGCCCAGGTGGGGCGAACAGAAGAGAAGGAAATTCTTCTCGGGGCAGAAAAACAAACCCGGCGAAAGGAGACGGATCCTGAGCACCGCAGGGCACCGGGCCGGCA